GGTTATGTTTCATCTGCAGAGCACACATTTTCTGTGCTGTTGGTCAATAATATGAATCTTAACTAAGAAAAGCCACATCTAAAGGCAGCTTTTAAAGTCAATTTTGGTTCCATTAAAAGGCCTTTCTCTGTAGCATTAGGTCTAATTTCATTGTATAATTCAGCTGCTTTATTTATTTGGAAGCCAAATGACTAATGCATTGAAGAATTCTCTGGAGCATCACATCCCCTTTTGAGTTATTTTTACATTCTGTCTAATTAAGGCAGTGATATTTGTAAGCAGGGCAGTCGGTCTGTTCTTTTGTTAACAGTTGCTTAAGCATTAGCAGTGGAGGAAGTCATGACAGCATTCTTCAATTAATTGATGTAAAAGACAATATCTGAGATGGACATTTAAAACAAATTAAAGGGCAATAAAGGATATCATTCAATATAGTAATTAGAAGACAGCGAACCTGTGAATAATGTAAAATATTATATATAAACGTGAAATGTTATATTATGTTGTGAACATTCCTAATAGGGATGAGCGAGTGGAGCAAAGTTTAATTCGCAGGGAGTTGGTGAAATCAGCAGGAAGTCAGCGAACCCTGAACATATTGCTAAACCCTACTGAAGTCTGTGAAGCTGAATCTTGTTATTTTCAAAGACTAATTTGCAAGCTATCGTTAAAAAAGTGCATCCACTGGGGATATGCACCAATAAAAAAAAAAAAGCTGGGGATCTATCATTTAGCAAGGGAAGCCAGCTGGAGATTGAGAGTGATATTATTGACCAAAATTGACCAGAGATTCTGGGAGACGTCATTGACTAAATATGTTCCTGACCATATTTGGTCAATGACATCACCCTGGATCCTGACTGGTTTCTTGACATACAACAGCCGCAGGGGATCTGTCATTTGCGATAGAAGTAGCATCATCATGTGGCAGGTCAACATCGTAGGGCCGATGGATGCCATAATTGATGAGGATCTACAGCACTTGATGATGTAACTAATATTGGATTTACATGGAGGACATGGGGTTTATTTGTAAAAATCAAGGACTTTTTCACAATGCAGGTGTTCTTATTTGCTATTAATCCTGTACTCATTTACCTGGGAGGGGAAGGGGCGGATATCTGGGGGCCCTCTTATTCTAAAGAGGGATTTGAGGATCTCATAAGCCTTCACACAAACCCGCACATGCTTTTTGGGGACAGGATATAGGGATGATGTCCTGATCACATCAAGTAAGGGAAAAGGTACCTTGCAAGGGGGAAGGCTTTGCTGTCCCCCCATTATTAAAAAGTACCCTGCTATTGTGTTAAGGGATAGTCCACATTTTAAATAAAATGGGGAAAAAATGTATTGGGTTCCCTCTAAAATTTTAACTAGACCCTTATTCAGGAATCAAGGATGTTCCCCCTCCCTGAACCAAGCAAGGCTTTCAGCATTGGGAGTGTACTTTGCTAAGAGCAGAAAAAGCAATGTGTGGGTTTGTGTGTGTATTTGGGGGGGGGGGGGTGCTTTGTG